ATCACTGCATATCCACGAAGTGAATGATGATGAATGGGGCGAAGCGTTCGTCCGTAAGGATGGACGGATAGATGGATTCATGGACGGACGGATGAAAGCACGCATGGACGGAGGCACGGACGTGCAAACGGACGGACAGACAGACGCACGGACCTACGGAAGCATGGACGGATGGACGGACGGAAGTTTCGTCCCACTCCGACGGTCATCATTGGCTCCGTGGATATGTTATAATTACCACTAACGCCATCTAGCATGGATGGATGGATGTGGCTGTACCCTATAGATCGGGCAGCGGCTTACACCACCTAGCCGTAATACTTAGTGAACTAACCATTAGTTTTATCTTTTTTTCCCTTTAAATAAAGAGGGTGAGGATTCGTACTTTTCAGTGAAGGGTTTAATTTTCACTCTCGCCTTGACTTTAGCCACCAATCAGATAACCTCCTCCTAGTTAATTCTGTCCGCTTAAAGTCTATTTTGTCCGCCCTGTCCCTAAACCCCGGTGCTTTGAAAAACTCTGCGCCATCATCCTAAACTATAGGGTGAAGCCCTTTACAGAACATTATCAAGTGTTCGGCAGTTTCTTCTTCCTCTCCACACGCACTGCATACTGTGTCGACCCCTCCGTATTTGGCCCGATATGTCTTGGTTCGCAGTACTCCCGTCCTGGCCTCAAACAGTAGAGAACTACCCCGAGTATTATCATAGATCCTTTCCTTGGCAATTTCCTGCTTAAAAGTTCGATAGATCTCTAGTGCGGGCTTCTTAATCATGCCAATTCTCCACATGTCAGTCTCCGTTTCCTTCACTTCCTTCTTAACCGATGGTTCTTTTTGGTTTGGCCACCTGCTGTTTTCTAAGTATTTACCAGTCAATTTCCTGGTTCGCTTCCTCCATTTTGTATCGACATTCTTTATGTACAAGTAGCTGTAAACCTTCCTAGCCCAACGCTCCTCCCCCATTTCTCTCAATCGCTTCTCAAATTTCATCTTGCTGCTAGCTTCCCTGCCCTCAAATGATGTCCATCCCATATCACCTTGTACTCCCTGATTTGGTGTATTCCCGTGCAATATATACACACAACGCCATCTATTGAGCGACTCATAAACTATAATTGTGGCTACATACTACCACTACTGCAGAGGAGGGAACGACCCGTGGCCTAAGGAGCTTCGCCCCTAAAAATGACTGCTCGCGCTGCACAACCGTTCAGTGGCCACTCTGTATATGTAGGCACTGGATCGTGCGGAGGGTATGATGGGGAGGCTAGCTGGTAAAACATTTAGCAAAATTATAACTGCGGAAAATAAAAGCTAGACGCAATCTACATTAACGACTTACCTAACAATTTATCCTGCAACCTTCGTATGTTTACAGATGATTGTGTCATCTACCGCAAAATAACCAACACTTTTGATCAAACAGCACTACAGAATGACCCTAATGAAGTATTAAACTGGTGTGACCATTGGCTTATGACCCTTAATCCTAACAAATGCAAATTAGTTTCCTTCCACCGCCGCAAAAACCCACTCCAATTTTCCTATGAAATTGCTAACATGCCAGTCTAAACAGCCGTATCCTATAAGTATCTTGGTGTAACATTAACCCCTGATCTTTCCTGGCGAACGCATATCACTAACATGATTTCATCAGCCAACCGATCATTAGGATTTCTAAAACGTCACCTACGTCACTCACCGTATCACGTTCGTCTTGTGGCCTATCAGTCGCTAATCCGGTCCAAACTAGAATACGCATCACCCATCTGGAGCCCTCACCAAGTTTATCTGATCAACGCTATCGAAGCAGTTCAAAATCGTGCCGCTCGCTTCATTCATTCTTCTTATTCTTACGATGTCAGTGTTTCATCCCTTAAAAATGAATCCGGTCTATTAAGTCTTTCCCTTCGCCGCAGAATTGCTACGTTGTCACTGTACCACAAGTTGTATCACAGCTCACTTCACCAACCACCTTACATCGCTCCTGCCGCACGCATTTCTTCCCGCACTGGCCATCCACTTCAAGTCTTCCGACCCCGATCTGGCACCTCAACATTTTCTGCATCATTTCTCTGCCGCGCCGCCAAAGAATGGAATGACCTTCCCCACGATGTTGTTTCAATCACCTGTCCATCACGTTTTATTCAAAGTGTGTCAATGCATCTGCAATGTTAACCTGTGGCTTTTGTATCTTTGTTATACAACCCACCCCTTATGTAACACCCCCCCCCCCCCCCCCCCCCCGTGGGGTCTTTAAGGAAATAAAGTGAAAGTGAAAGAACAAAGTGGACAGGGCGATCGCACTGTCCACTTCGTTCTCATGTCTCGTTTCTCGCGCAGTTATAATTTTCCTAACTGGATCGCGCGCTCGGAATTCAGTCAAGGGCTAGCTTTCACTTGACATTGAGGGCAACGCTTCTCTTTCATTCAATAAAACGATAATAAAGAGAAAATAAGCAATTAAGCATTCCCAAACCATACCCGATTACGCAACATTCATGCGATGCCCACACCACTCTACGATGCATTTACTCAAATTGCCTCTGTGACAATATGCGGGTGGCATTTTTAGCAGGTTTTGAGAATTTATTGGGAATTCAAGTACCGCGTGCTGCACTACATTTGGCTCGCGCGTTCTCCGGCAGCCTCGACTCAACGATCGGTAGCGCTTCTAAACTTCCTCGAAAGTGTTAGAGGATCCCTTTAAGTAAAATTGTGCAGGAAGAAAATGCGATTACACGCTTGATATTCAAGTGCCGGAGACGCCTGACCGCAAGACAATAAAAAATTACTGAGACATTTCGGCACCCAGAACGTGAGCTTCGTTCACAACGAAAGCGGAAGGCGGAAGCTAAGCGTTTACGTAATATACAGTACGTGGCCTAAACATCTTGCGGGTGCGGGCGCAGATTACCATCGATTCGGTTGAGCATGCTCTTTTTCCTGTTTGTATTGTGAAAGATTGCAGATACAATCTAGAAGTCAAGTTCATTTAGGCAACGAAGACACGTGCCCTGACCCTGTTAATGATACTTCAATGATTTTTTTTATTTATTCAGTGAATCTTCCCGACCAGACGGGCATCCGTCGAAGCCTTGATTTCACTCGCTTGATATGTACAGATTACAACGCGAGGTGCGGTCACTCGATGAGTGTGTATCGCAAGACGCCTTTTGGTGTCTGTATTGTATGGCTTATTTACATCCGTGCGCACATTAAGTGTGATACCAGCGGCTGCTCTGTGCGTGTGACATGTTCGGTAGCGGCGTGCAGATAGTGGGACGCTGTTCTCGTCCTCGAAGGCCAACGTGTCATGAAAGCAACTCTGGCGCCGGATGTGTGCTTTCAAAATGCAGCTTTTCGTTATTTCGGAGGTTTTTCGCACCTGTTAAATATTCTACCGTTCGCCGTTCAAGGCCGACTCTTGCGAGTGTATATGCTTCGTGAGTATTGTTTGTCCAGTGGCGTTAACCCCCGTAGCTTTCGACGTTCCTATAATTTTTCCAGATGAGGTGCAGTCACAGATGGCACGATGCTAGCGCGACTGTTAATGTAATGCAGCTAGTTTTTTATTTTTGAGCAACGAGTGCCAGAAACGGTGATTGCAAGTGTGTTGGGAAAGACCAAACCGGTTAGTGCACGTTCATTTGTAAATGTGCTTACGGTGCAATCAACCGCAACTGAAGGACTCAAGACGACGGGAGCGATGTACGTGGCGTCCTTATTTGTTCGTTTTAATCGGGGTGTGAGCGGCATCGTGCCATATGAGATGCACAATTAAGCCAAGCGTCTGATGTGCTCGGCACTTCAAAAAAAAAAACTGGGCGAGAAATACGGGAAGCATTTGCGATTGCCAATTAAGAAAGTGCGTAAGCACCCTGTCCATAAAACTCGCAGCTGCCGAGGTCAGCATCACCATTGTCAATGGCTGCACCATAACGACGCTGTTCCGACGCAGCCCTATCACTCGTCTTAGTCTCGTACAACATTTTGGTGAAGTATGATGTGACGTTATCGCACACGTAACTCGAAGTAGCTACCTGTAGCTTCGAGGATTCATTTGCGGTTATTTAGCATTATTGACCTATATCCGAGCATGGATGGATGGATGGATGGATGGATGGATGGATGGATGGATGGATGGATGGACGGACGGGCGGGCGGGCGGGCGGGCGGGCGAGTGGGCGGGTGGGTGGGCGGGCGGATTTGGTTGGTGCATGTTCACAGAACTAAAAAGAGCAACAATGTTGACTCGGGGCTCAACGTGCCGAGTCGGACAATAAGCTCTCCAGCTTCTAGTCCGCCTCTGTGATGTCCTTTGTTCGTGCTGTTCCTCTTTATACATTGGCTAAACACCGTATTTGTCACAGTGCTGGAAATACTATTTGAAAACAGTGACGTCATAACATGGTAAGCACCCACCGGGAAGAAACATGGGGGCATGAAACTGCAGTGATAATAACCAGTCCAGGAGGTCTGCTACGCAATCCTGCACATTGTAAAGGAGTGTGGGAGTTTTAAAGATGGATAAAGAGAGAGGAGATAGCACGTACACACAAAGTCGCACTTCACAGTCGTCAAAAAACCTTAAGTCTATAATCGCTGCTGCAAGTCTGTTGCGTTGAAAAAGTTAGCACCAGCTTCATCGCCGGAGTTCTACTGTAAGCAAAGACGTGGACAGTCAGGAGGTTGAAGGCGTTTTCTAAAGTTTGTTTTTTAGTTTCTATGTGTGTGTACATACGTATAACAAGCATAGAGACATGCTCACGAACATAAATATGTAGGGGTCAGACAGTCTACCCCTTCCCTAAAAAACAAATCCTTATTTAAAAACAGATACGTTTATCATAAATCATAAAACTGGTAGCAAATCGTGGGCTACTGCTTATTTCACCTCACGCAAATTTTCGGAGATCTGCTACACTGTCATAATGCGTGAGGATTGCAACTGAATCTCTACGAGTGGCCGACCTCCATTTCGATAAAAAAAAAATCTTTCGAATTTAAACTCGTTTTTATGCGTACCAGTGCCTCTCCTTTCTTGCACGTGACATGCACTCGCTCATGCGCTCTCGTCGATTTGCTGCTTGATAATATCGATGGCGGCGTTGTGCAGGAAGTCGTTGGCTCTGTATCCGATTGCAAAGTCAAAGTGCCCGAAGGTCTTTTGTGGAACCACGCGATGCTGGATAACCCTCGGTCCGAGTCTGGCAACAAGGTCTTCGACGTCTCGTGGGTCGGCGACACTATCGCCGTCTGACGAGAAGATCACCCATGGTGTCGTGATGCGTTCCACTGGATAGGCTGGAGCTTCTGCCTGTGCAATCAACGCGCAAAGTGAGGTATGACAACAGAAAAAAAAGTATTTATACACGTCAATTCCACAGTCCAGCTCACAAATTAGGTTCCTGGTGTTTCCTGTGTGTGGGCGTTGTTGCTGACGCGTGAACACTGTTTGTGAAGCGTGTGGACATCGCTTTTGTGAATGAGCACTTACCGCGTGTGAATTTTGCATTACTTTATTGTCATTGATAACTTCATGACGCGAATTATTGTGTAAGAGAAGAGGAGTAGCAAGTGCTTCCTAAACACATTCAATAAAAATAAGAATAGTTGTCCTGGTTGGTTCTAGATTTGTTGATTGTCTGACATAACCATTAAACGTATGAAGTAAGTGCCGTGAAGTATTTACAAAACACTGCAGCATTTCCATAATTATTTTTGCAAAAAGAATATTACCTGGCCGTATCGCCTCTGGTTCTCCTTGGCACCGTAATTGTACATGACGAAGTCTTTGGCCTTGTACATCTGTAAATGTAGCAACTGATGATCAATAGCGCATACACTAACGCGCATGCATGTCTCTGCAACCTTGACATCTTATGCGCTTCCGATTTTCGTGCGTTCTTTCAGCATTTGATTTGTCTAAGCCAGTGTCGGCAGCGCCAAAGTATGGAGGACTTAACTGTGCATCTTGATCATTTTAAGGGCAAAGCTCCTTAAAGCGGCACCCTTCCGTCCCTAGTAGTCGTAGTCGCAGTGTGTAACAAGTGTTACATTTTGACCTGCAAGGTGGTGCCGGTGGGAGATTTTTCCTGTACTTTGTTGAACAATAAAAAGTTCGCGGTGTGCGCGTTAACTAAAAGCCGAATGCTCCTGTCTCTCATTCCTCATTAGCAGCCATTGGCATAATTCAGTAGGAAACGTTAGTAGAGGTAGAAGTGTTAAAAGCCGAGTTCTGCTGTCTCTCATTCCCAGTAGCAGCCATTGTTTACCTCCAAGGTAGTGCCTGGTGTGATTTCTCCTGTGCGTGATTAAATAATAAGAAATTTTTGTTCAGAAAGCCGTTGATTGATGAAAGAAACCAACGAAAAACGCCAGGTGTTTTCTAAAAGCAAAACGAAAAGACGCCAGATATTTCTAAAGCAAAACAAAAAGATGACGCCAGCTGCTTAACGAAATACGCAAGGTGTTTTCTATCGGGCGAATAAACGGGAAAAAAATTTCACGGTATTACTTCCAGGAGCTTCGCCCAATCTCATCATTATTCACCTCGTGGATCTGCCGTCAATTTTTTTTTGTTGCTCAAGCTTGCGAGTTGTATTTCACGCGCATGACTAAAAAGTCACAGCATATTAACGAGGTTAATGATGAGTAATGGAGCGAAGCGGACGGACGGATGGACACTCCGCCTCACTCGTCGTCATTCACTCCGTGGATATGCTCTGACACTGTTTTTATTGACATGCAATGCAACTGGCCTACTACGACGACACTGGACATACGGCCCATGGCGCAAGGAGCTTCGCCCTTAAAATCATAATGCACTTCCTTTGCAAGTTATGCCACCTGGTTTGACGTATATGAAATGCTTATCTACAGTGTCAAGTCCATTACGCTTTCTAATCATATCGTTCGCTAAAACAACTGAAATCTGATAATAATAATAATAATAATAATAATAATAATAATAATAATAATAATAATAATAATAATAATAATACCGGGGGTTTTACGTCCCAAACCATCTAATGGTTATGAGAGATGCCGTAGTGGCACTAAGAAATTTTCGCCATCTTGTGTTCTTTAACGTGATCTGACGTCGCATAGTACACGGGCCTCTACCACTTTGCCTCCACCGAAACGAGACTGCCACGGCCGGGACCTACCACGTGACCTGTGGGTCTGCAGCCGAGCACCCTAGCCGCTGTTCCACCCAGGCGGCCACAACTGAAATCTAAGCTTGTTGGTATGCCACTCATCCTCAGTACAAAACACCTGGTCTTACGAATTACGTATCAATGTATTTTCTAGTTAAAGAACACGCCACCTAATACTAACCCGTTGATATGGTGCCACATATATATATATATATATATATATATATATATATATATATATATATATATATATATATATATATATATATATATATATATATATATATATATTGCCGCGCTCGAAACAAAGAACGAAGACGATGTGCGCGCCAACAGCCTCGTGAAAAGGAGGACTGAAGAAGACGACGTACTTTCGTTTTTGGCTTGCCTGCTCTTGGCTCCTGCATAAAAACACACGCCGTCTGTTCTCGGACTCAACGTCTCGGTGCACTTCTTACGTTGAACCGCGACACTGGTGGAGGCGCTGGGTTGCAAGCCTGCTGATGCTCAACACCCCATCTGGGAGCCGTTCATCAAGTCCCGACACGCAGCCATCTGTTACGACATTAGTGCACCGCTTCAGTCGCCGGTTGCTAGGCCTATCTCCAGAGCTGACCTCCTTCGACGAACATTCTACCAGGCATTACGTACCTCTACCAATGGCCTCCGCTAGCCAGCCACAGTTGGTCCAAGGGATACAAGGCAGCCCCGTTTCCAATCCAGCCCAGGTAACACTTCTTCAGCCACTTGTGCCTGATCGCTTCAGTGGTGCCCCACACGAAGATGTTGAAGATTGGCTTGAGCATTACGAACGCGTTGCCGACATCAACCAGTGGAATGCTCAACAGAAGCTCGCCCGCACGTATTTCACTCTCGATGACGGCGCTCACACGTGGCTTGAGAATCGAGAAGGCCGTATATCCACATGGGATGACTTTCGTCAGCAGCTGATTGACACCTTTGCTAGCGTCGACCGTCGAGAGCGGGCTCAGCAGCGGCTCGAGTTAAGGCTTCAAAAACCTAACGAAACTGTGGCAATGTTTGCTGAAGACGTGACGCGCCTCTGTCGTCGGGCTGATCCCAACATGTCCGAGGAGAAGTTGCGCTACCTTATGCGTGGCGTCAAAGAACAACTGTTCGCTGGACTTGTGCGCAATGCCCCAACTACCGTGGCCGATTTTATAAGAGAAGCCACTGCCATTGAGCGTGCTCTGCACCAAAGATCGAGGCAATATGATCGCTCGTCCACTACCACCCCAATCAACGCCACTTCAGTGACTCTGGACAATCAGGGCTCCCTACGTGACCTTATCAGAGATATTGTCCGCGAAGAAATGCAGAAGCTTTGGACTCCTCCAGTGGATACACCAGTGACCGCCGTTGCCGCGGTCGTTCGTGACGAACTTAGGCACGCTTTTTCAGCAGCTGATCTCGATCGCGATCAGCGTCAACTGAGTTACGCCGACCACCACCCGTCCCGCCCATTACATCATACTACCAGCCACCTACAGCCGCACCTTCGTCGCAACCATTGCAGGAGGCTTTCAGACGTCAGCCCATGTCTCCGATGTCTCCATGCCACCAGCCACCACTTGCCGCGCCTTACTCACCACCACGAGAGGACATAAGACGCCCACAATTTCGCAGAACGGACGCTTGGCGCACCGTCGATCGGCGCCCTCTCTGCTTCAACTGTGATGGTGCCGGCCATATAGCTCGCTATTGTTGGTACCGCGACACATCGTTTCGCCCGTCTCGGCCAGGGTACGACGGTCGCCGTGCCAATGACGACTACATTGTTCGCCATGACGACCCTGGTTTTCGAGGACCTTCAACAGCGTGGTCTGCCTATCACGAGTCGCCTCCTCATCGCCAGCCCAATTCCGCCCACAGGTCACGCTCTCCATCCCCTGCTCAGACAACATCACCGAATCGACGTACTTTTGCTGACCTTCGGGGAACAAGGTCGCCCAGCCCTTACCGGGGAAACTAAAGGCGGCGACCTCTCGGGGTAAGGTCGCAGCCCGACCACAAAACGATAAAAAGTCCCCAGTACTGCCGCGACAGAACGACTTGACGCCAACGAATATTAACAACGACGAAATGGTGAGCGCCGACCTCCATGTAATTATTGACGGAGAGCAAGTGACGGCCTTAGTCGATACGGGTGCTGATTTTTCCATAATAAGTCGCAAGCTGGCTGATCATCTTAGAAAAGTAAGAACGCCATGGACAGGACCACATATAAGAACAGTGGGTGGTCAATTGCTGCTCCCTACTGAAAGATGCACAGCAAGAATCAGCATAGGGGACTCTTCTTTCGTCGCGACTTTCATTGTTCTCCCAGAGTGCTGCAAAGATTTAATTATAGGAATGGACTTTCTCAGGGAGCATGGCGCAATAATCAACATCCCGGACCGCGTGGTTTCATTTTACGAGAGTGCTCGTGTGGCTGATCCTACATTACCAGAGCACAAATCCTTTCGTCTCAAAGACCACAATATAGTCGTGCCGCCTCGATCGTGTATCCTCGTTTCAGTAGCATGTGACGTACCGTTCGACGGTGAAGGAGTCGCCGACCAAATAACTTCGCTGCTTTTCACTCACGGGATTTTCGTAGCACGAGGAATAGTCAATGTCACCGACGGCCGAACGAACTTGCTGTTGACCAATTTCACCTCCGAGCGACGGCACCTTCCAAAAGGCACAACGTTGGCACATTTCGACGAGATCGCAGATGTTCATGACTGCTTTTCAGCACTCAAAGCAACACCTGCACAAGACCCACGTGACCTAGCACCTAACCTTGACGTCAGCCCTACTTTAACTCAGCAACAGCGGGAACGCCTGCTTGTGCTGCTAGACGAGTTCCACGACTGTTTTGCGTCGACCTCGAAAGTTGGCCGGACGTCCTTGACCAAGCACCGAATCATCACAGAGGACACGGCTAGACCAATTCATCAAAATCCGTACCGTGTGGCTTCAAAAGAGCGAGAAGCGATAGAACAGCAGGTAACAAAAATGCTTGAAGACGACGTCATTCAACCGTCGAAAAGCCCCTGGGCATCACCTGTTGTTCTAGTGAAAAAGAAGGACGGCAGCCTGCGTTTCTGTGTGGACTATCGAAAGCTAAATCAGGTTACAAAAAAGGACGTGTACCCGCTTCCCCGCATAGATGATTCGATTGACAGGCTTCGAAACGCACGTTACTTCTCTTCCATGGACTTAAAGAGCGGATATTGGCAAATTGAAGTAGACGCCAGGGATCGTGAAAAAACCGCTTTCGTGACGCCAGACGGACTGTACGAATTTAAGGTTTTACCATTTGGCTTGTGCTCCGCTCCTGCTACTTTCCAGCGTCTCATGGATACCGTTTTCTCTGGCCTTAAATGGAGAACCTGCCTAGTATACCTTGACGACGTCATTGTGTTTTCTACAACGTTTGACGAACACCTTGAACGATTGCAAATGGTCTTGCAGGCCATACGGGCCGCAGGCCTGACGCTCAAGCCGGAAAAATGTCACTTCTGCTTTGAGGAACTGCAGTTTCTCGGCCATGTCGTCAGTTATGCAGGAGTTCGTCCAGACCCCGAAAAAGTTGCCGCCGTCGCACAGTTTCCAACACCATCAGATAAAAAGGCAGTGAGGCGTTTTCTGGGTCTCTGTGCATATTATCGGCGATTTATTCCAGATTTTGCACGCATTGCGTCACCTTTAACTCGTCTCACGAGGGATGACGTTGCATTTGTTTGGGGCGACGAACAGGAAGATGCTTTCGATGACTTGCGGCAACGTCTACAGACGACCCCCGTACTTGCCCATTTTGATGACACAGCCCCTACAGTGCTCCATACTGACGCCAGCAATGTTGGCCTCGGAGCTGTGCTTGTACAGCACCAGGATGACGAGGAAAGAGTGATTGCTTACGCAAGCAGAACTCTGTCACGCACAGAAGCAAATTACTCGACCACTGAAAAGGAATGCCAGGCCGTGGTGTAGGCAGTTATGAAATTTCGCCCATACCTGTACGGCCGCCCATTCAAGGTTATCAGTGACCACCATTCGTTGTGTTGGTTAACAAGTCTGAAAGATCCTTCCGGGCGATTGGCACGCTGGAGCCTTAGACTACAGGAGTTTGACATAACGATGGTGTATAAGTCGGGAAAACGACACACGGACGCCGACTGTCTATCTCGATCACCAATAGAGTCGGCTGCTGCTTTTGATGAAGAAACAGCATTCCTCGGAATCCTCGACACGTCAACCATCGCAGATCACCATCATGACGATCCTGAGCTACTTGGCTTGATTAATTATTTAGAAGGACGAAGCCAGAATGCACCCAAAGCCTTTACAAGAGGACTATCGTCGTTCTGTCTGCGAAACAATGTCCTTTACAAAATGAACTTCTCGTCAGACGGGTCCACCTACCTGCTTGTCGTCCCTACCACTCTTCGATCTGAGGTGTTGCAAGCGTGCCACAACGAGGCAACATCTGGACATTTAGGCTACACGCGCACACTGAGCAGAGTTCGAGGAAGATATTACTGGCCTAGACTCACCGCTACCGTGAAGCATCATGTTCGGACCTGCCTCGATTGCCAGCGGCGCAAGTCACCTCCAACGAAACGAGCCGGTTTCCTACACCCTGTCCAGATCCCGACAACGCCGTTTGACCAGATCGGAATGGACCTTTTGGGCCCACTTCCCACCTCTGGTGTTGGTAACCGTTGGGTTATAGTGGCGACCGACGACCTTACTCGCTACGCCGAGACGAAAGCCATCCAGAGAGGCACAGCAGAGGAGGTAGCCCGGTTCTTCATAGAGAACATTGTGCTGAGACACGGTGCGCCATCGATCGTTATAACAGATCGCGGAACCGCATTCACGGCCGCGCTTTTAGATCATGTGTTGGTGCTCAGCGGTACTATTCATCGCAAGTTGACAGCTTACCATCCACAAACCAACGGGTTGACCGAGCGACTTAACAAAACTCTAGAAGACATGTTTTCTATGTATGTGGACTTCGAACACAAAAACTTGGACGAGATTCTCCCTTACATAACGTTCGCATACAATACTGCGAAACAAGAAACCACACGGATGACCCTATTCAGCCTTGTTTACGGACGAGAAGTAAGAACGATGTTAGACGCGATGCTGCCACACGAATGCGATGACAACGAAACGAGTGCTGACGCGTTTACTCAACGCGCAGAGGAATCCAGGCAGCTCGCACGTCTGCGAATATACAAACAACAAGAGTACGACGCAGGCCGCTATAACCAACGTCGTACACCTGTAACGTACGAAACCGGGGACAGGGTATGGGTGTGGACACCTGTACAAAGACGGGGACTATCCGAAAAATTGCTCAGAAGGTACTTCGGACCTTACCGAGTGCTGAGACGACTAAGTGACGTTACCTATGAAGTCGTCCCGGATAGCCCAAACTGTTCAAGGCGTCGCCAGCACCGACCTGAGCTTGTGCACGTAGTGCGCATTAAGCCATACGTCAGCGAGTGACTCTGCGAGGCACCGTTGCTTCTACAAAGTGACTTCTTGCGCAAATTACTGTCTCAGCTATAGCATCGGGGCGATGCTCTTTTAAGGGGAGGCAAATGCCGCACAACGAAACAAAGAACGAAGACGATGTGCGCGCCAACAGCCTCGTGAAAAGGAGGACTGAAGAAGACGACGTACTTTCGTTTTTGGCTCGCCTGCTCTTGGCTCCTGCATAAAAACACACGCCGTCTGTTCTCGGACTCAACGTCTCGGTGCACTGCTTACGTTGAACCGCGACAATATATATATATATATATATATATATATATATATATATATATATATATATATATATATATATATATATATATTGGATCCGTCTTGGATCCTGGCGAAGGCCGTGCCACGGCCGAAACATAAACAACTATCAAATTTTCGTAAGTGTGCTCCTTTATTTCTTAATTACATTTGCACCGTACCCACTGAATTTTTTAAAATAATATATATATATGTACGTGTGTGTGTGTGTGTGTGTGTGTGTGTGTGTGTGTGTGTGTGAAATGAAATATTAATGAGCTCTAACAAACAATAATGCCGAGGAAAGTATAGGGGAAGTTATGAGACCAAATTGTAATGTAAATGTGATGAAATAAAAGTGGGTGAAAAGAACTTGTCGTGAACAGGAACCGGCAAGTTATCTTTTCACCCACTTTTCTTTCTTCATATTTTGCTGACGTATCGGTATATTTGCTAACGTTTCGGCTGACCAGCTTTTTTCAAACGCTTTAACAAAGGCTAGTCCACCAGCCGAAGCGTCAGCAAATATACCGTGCAAATCCAAAGTGCGTCGTACTATTGCAGTACTGGCGAGTGTTTTTCATAGAGCAGTCTCTATGAAAACACCTACACCCCTAATAAAAGCTGTCGCGTTAAAAAAAACGAAGCGGCTTATTTTAATGTAGTTTTTTTCGTCCACTTGAGCGTGCCTTACCTGGTAGTAATGCATGAAGTTCTGTACTGTTGTTCCAACCGGGTAGTGGCCAATATACACTGGTAGTCGCGTCTGAAAGGAATAGATATAAATGCAAGCAAACAACCGATTCCACCTTCTAAAACTCGCGTATATGTGTGTTGCCTACAAAATGCTCTCATGTTTTTACGGCACGTTAAGAAACTTCAATGATGCTCACAGTCAAATTGTAAAAATATTGATGGGTCAACTTGTCGTCTAGTTCTTTTAAAAAGTCTTCGGGAACCAGCTTCAGTTGCCAGTAATTGTGTCGTGTGGTTGTGTGTGCCTCTATTGTCCTGGTCTTTCGCGCTGCTTCCCTAAGATGTGTAAAAAAATACAACTGCACTCAATCTGCACCAGAACTTCATTGTAACAAAATTGTTCGTAGATGATGAGTGTATATAAAATATATATGTCATACTATTTAAAAGTTGTGCATGCTATTTGCCAATTTTTTGCCCCGCAAATCATTTCTTGCTTTACTTCAGCCCCGCCGCGGTTGTCTAGTGGATAAGGTACTCAGCTGCTGACCCGCAGGTGGCGGTATCGAATCCCGGCTGCGGCGGCTGCATTTTCGATAAAGGCGAAAGTACTGTAGGCCAGTGTGCTCAGATTTGGGTGCACGCAAAAGAACCACAGGTGGTCTAAATTTCCGGAGCCCTCCACGACGGCGTCTCTCATAATCATATGGTGGTTTCGGGACGTATATCTATCTATGTTTGCTTTACTTCCAGTCTTTACCGCTTTCGTTGTACAACTTCCGGTCTTTATTTACCATACTTTCACTCGGCACTCCATGTTACAGCTTAACCAAGCCAGGCCTAACTCGTTCGTACCGTGTTACACAATGAAAATAATTTCAATCTTGATTAAAACTTACACATAAACTCGTAGGCGTGCTTACGTGAGAAGGCGATTTAGAGCAAGCGGGGGCTCACTTTTTTTTTTTTGTCATTCAAAGTGGCTGGATGCATGTTTTTCTATGCCCTTGAGATTACCAGCCCTTCACTTATAGGCGGCGATTTGGACACGTTGATTTACCACATTAATTCACAAAGTTGTGTGACTAAGGCTCGGAACGAAAAAAGACACGATTAGACACACAAAGCGCAAACACGAAGCACGAAAAGGGTGCGCAAACACGCAGAGTTTTATCGGTCTAATCGTGTCTCTCTTCTGTCCGTGTTTCAGTCGCGCCACTTTGCGCATTCACATATCAAGCACTTCCTTCCCTCACAAGGGATATCTTTTATGCAGTAAGGTTGATTTGTGTAGATTGTGCTGAAATCTTTTCGAGTATATGTCTGCCTGTTTTAATCAGCGCCAGTCTTTCTGGCTGCGTTAATTTCGGAGCTAGCTCTTCTCGCGTGTTGTGAAGCACTGATTTAGGCACTTCCTCATGAGAGGCATGTCATTCGAAGACCGACCGGTCACTTGTTTTAAAGCGCGTTCAAATTGTTATTTCACTTTCGTCGTCGGGAACTTGCAATCTGAGGTACAAAATTGCTTATACAATACGACTTGTGACGGGACCCTGCATCATGGCGGAGCTACGCCCCCCCCCCTTCGGCTGGTGGGAGGGGGAGGGTGCGATCATCAAATTACTTGCCCCCCCCCCCCCCCCCTAATGAAGAACCATGTGCATGACCATGCACTACAATGGTACATTATCGACAACTAAATATGTAATTCAGGCATCGGCAGACACGTAGGAAACAGGAAAGCACTAATGCGTGAATAGTCTACGAAATCGATGCGAATGTTTGCCAACGCGTGTTCTTCCGCGCTCACCTCATTCAGCTGGTACGGGCTGCTGAACGCAGTTATGGTGATTGCCAGAGAGCAAGCCTCGCCGTTGAAGAGGATCTCGCACACTTTTGCGACGAATTCTGATAGACCCTTGGTTGCTTCCAGGTACCCCGCCATGGTAAAAGGGTATGCCAAAGTCTGCAACAAATTCAAGAATTGCACACTCTCTCTCACACACGCCTATATATATATATATATATATATATATATATATATATATATATATATATATATATATATTTGAACCAGAGAGATATGAGCCGAAAACCTAATGCATCAGCCTAGAAACATGCTGACATTTCGTCACGCTACTACGGAAATTATCAGGTTTTAATTACGCGGCAACGAAATGGCGTAGCGTCAGGACATCAATTTTCATTGTCGTTCTTCACAACCATCATTACATTAAAATTCTTGCATTACTTCTACCATTCTGAAACATGCATAAACAGGGAACAATACATTCAACCACACTACAAACCGCCACCTCTCTCCTGCCATCTACACTAGAGTTACTGTATATGCTACCTTTAGATAGCATAATTAAAGGTCGCCCAAAAGTTGCGCCATCTGTTGGTGTATCTGAGCACTGTAGCGTGACATGGCGCGCACTCTTGTGTCACCATTCTCACCCCTTGTACGGCTCCGCTTTTCATGAGGAAATGGAGTATTTGAGTACACACTACGCGATAACTTTGTCTGTAATCATTGAAACACTCACGGCAATCAGAGGCGTGAAGGGAATCAGAAGGGAGAGTGGAGATCCGAAGTGGGAGACGTTGGCAACGGGGCCGTAAGCCACAACCAAGTTGATCTGTAATCGCAAAAGGAATAAATAGCGAATATTTAAAATCAGACAAGTTTTATAGGTAACGTTACGTAGCTTGTGTGGTTACATCACCCTTGGATTGAATGAATACAATGTCGGCTGTGATAACAGCGTCGGCATGCGCTACTTAGTAATCACCAATAGGGGCCAATATTCATCGAAAATTACCATATCATTTCTTGAATTAAGTCAGTTCTGTCTCTAAGGCATAAAACCAGTGCTGGTTGAGAATGTGAGACCCGTTGACTTTTTTGTCCCTCTAAGCACTGCGGAAATTTATGCGCTTTTTTTCTTTAGTGTTTAAGAAAGAAAGAGAGAGCGAAAGTAGAAAAGGAGGAAGAGAGAGAGAGAAGAAAAGAGAAAAAGATAGAACAAAGAGATAGAAAGAAAGACAAAAAGTGTGAGAAATAAAGACAAGGAAGACATAAAAGTATGGAAAGAGACGCAAAGAGATTGACAAAATCACATATCAAGAGAGAAAAAGAGATAAATAAAAATGTAGAGATTGAAGCAAGGAGAAATAGATAGGGAAAAAGAGGAAGTGGTAGATGTCACAGAACGAGCGCTAAAAATAGGCGCGCCGCAAATTCTTGCGGTAACGCGCGGAAGAAACGCCGTGAAGTCAAAAGAAACAAAAAAAGGGAAAGAAAAAGAAAACAAACGGCCAAGGCTCCCCGAGCGCGCGCTCTCCCCGCAGAAGCGTGGCTTCCTCGACGAACCTCCTCACCCCACAACGGCGGCCGAGCAAGCCCGCGATTTTTCTAGAACGAAGGAGGCGTGGTCACGCCGAGATGAGTCATCCGACGCGGAGGGCAGTCGAACCGTTTCGCGCCTCTCCCCAGCCTTCGTTGCGCATCGCGCCGACGAAATGAGGAGAACTTTCTGGAAGGTGGCGCGGAACGTATTTAATCGAGCAGCCGAGACGAGAAATCAGGAGGAGACGGAAGTGAGCGCCAGAGCGCGTAGGGATTCCGCCGTGTAGTCGGCAAAGTTTTTGGTCCGTAGGGACGAGGCCGGAGGTGAAGAAGATTTCCACCTGAGGGGTGACGACTCGAGCTACCGGCAAGAGTGTGTGTTTACCGCTATCGAGCGAAGACGCGTGGCGACAGCTGCGAGTGTGAAGCCGACGTGTTCCGGCGAAGAAGTTTGAAGCTTGGAGAGTGGCCTATTGAAGACGGGAGTTTTCCTGGAAGAGAAACTCCGGCGAGGTTTCCTGGAAGAGAAACTTCGAGGGCTGCGGAACGACAACAACGCTGGACTTTGAGTGAGTGATTCTCGGAAGAGTATCATCTCGACTTTGGTTCCAAGAACTTTGGACTGAATAGGTTTTCTATCTCTTTAGTCTTTAAGTGTCTTGGTTGTTCAATGCATGCGACTGCATTGTAGTGCGTATTGTTGTCCGTGTCCGTTGTTTCAAGTGTGGCTGATTGTATTGTGTAATACGTTGATTGATTGGTTTGATTGGTGACAACTATTGTGGAGTGTGCATTTTTGTGTATTGTTTTCGATCTGCCATTATAGAGAATATAATTTGTTTGTTTATCAACTCTCGGCTCCGACTTGTTCTTTGGGCCACAGCCGGCGTCCGCTGGCGCGCCAAAAAGGACCACTTCTAAATTGTCCACGCTTTCGTGGTGCGGTTGGGGGGGGGGGGGGCCAATACTTCGGCCCTTGGAATTAGCCCGGCGATCGCCTCCCTAATTAACGGGACAGGTGTGACAGTAGAAAAAAAGAGAGAGAGAGAGACAGAGGAACGAATCAAAGGGAGAAAATCGAGAAAGAGAAGGAAACGTATAGAAAGGAAAATAAAAAAATAGATAGAATATATACGATGCACAAAACAAATAAAAGAAAGAGAGAGATACATAAAGAATGAGGAAAATAAAAAGATACATAGAATGTCATGCAGCTGTGAACCTCCTTCTGGTTCAACAGCTCTACGAAGCAGTCATTTTTTTTCAATTTCTTGCCTTCTCCCACGTACTCGCTTCGCTGTTACACACTCTTAAGTAGATGAGCGCAAGTCACCATCATCATCATCGTCATCACCATCAGCCTGACTACGTCCACTGCAGAACGAAGGCCTCTCCTATGTTCCGCCAGTCAACCTGGTCCTGTGCTTGCTGCTGCCAATTTATACCCGCAAACTTCTTGATCACATCTGCCCAACTAACGTTTTGTCTCCCTCTATCCCGCTTGCCTTGTCTCGGAATCCTGTTAGTTACCCTTAATGATCAGCGGTTATCCTGTATACGCACGGCCTATTTCCATGTCCTATTCTTGATTTCAACTATGATATCCTTAACCCCGGTTTGTTCCCTGATCCACTCTGCTCTCTTCTTGTCTCTTAAGGTTACACTTAAGGTTACACATACCATTTTACTTTCCATTGCTCGCTGCGTCGTCCTCAATTTAAGCTGAACCCTCTTTGTAAATGTCCAGGTTTCTGCTTCGTAGCTAAGTACCGGCAATATGCAGCTGTTATATGCCTTCCTCTTGAGGTACAGTGGCAATTGGCCTGTCATTATTTGAGAGTGCTTGCCAAATATGCTCCACACCTATCTTATTCCTCTAGTTATTTTAATCTCGTGGTCCGGCTCTGCGCTTATTACCTGTCCTAAATAGACACTTTTACAACTTCAAGGGCACTATTACCTATCTCGAAGCGCTGCTCTCTTCCGAGGTTGTTTTCGTTTTCTGCAGATTAACTTTAAGACCTACCTTTCTGCTTTGCTTGTCTAACTCCGTAATCATGACTTGCAGTTCATCCCCTGAGTAACTCGGCGATGCAATGTCATCGCCGAAGCGTGGGTTACTAAGGTACTCTCCATTAACTATTATCTGTAACTGTTCCCATTCTAGGCCTCTGAAAACCTCCTATAAGCATGCATTCGTTATACACAAAGATTTTTGCAACTTCATCCACACTTCCAAAGGGCCCCCACCTTGTCGTTGTACTCAGGTCGCGTGGACAGGAGAACCAAGATGGTGGCGACGCCCTGCGACAAGCTGACGAGCGTCAGCCTATCCGCACCGGTGGCGTTGAGCACGTGATCGACTCCAGCGGGAACGTCTAAGCGGCCGATTTCATCGAAGCTGCACAGTCGAGTTGGAATCAATGGGGAAGCGTTTATGCGACCACACAGAGCACTTATTTCCCGGGTACCCCTAAACGATCCTCCCGACCAGGACGCAGGAAACCTACGTCTTAATTTCAAAGACATTGTATAGCAATGTGAGGCTTGTCACCGCCTATATTCCACCCCAGCTAAAGGCTTTGGAAAGGCAAACTTACCTCGTTATGGTGAAAAAATTTTAACTTATATATAATGGCTGGTGCCAGCACTGTGAGGATGGGCCGTAGCTTAATGCCACACGCATCGGCATGTGCAGGGTCCGCCTTCATAAGGGGGGAGGAGGTGCAGGTTTCTCATAGCGCCCCCCTTCCTATTCTGTCAGTAATTATGGGGCTGACTTTGCGCATCCCCCATGTCGCGGCGCCCCCCCCCCGCTTTCTATTACGGTAAAGTATAGGGGCTGACTTTGCGCCCCGCTCCCTCTTAGGGTACAAGAGGGGGCGGCCGCCCCCCCCCCCCCTTTTGCTTCCTTCGGGTGCACGCTTATGACTATATAGTCTTTCCCTGTCATTGTAATCCAGCCCTAACCCTAAGCGCGAAGACATTGAAAGGTGGTCCTGACTGGGTGCTCAGATCTTCATGCCCAGAAGACCTTGGTACGAAGAGCCAGGCTGGCGGCTTCGACCTAGGGGGTCCCGGACTAGGGACACCACCCGGCATCTAGGGCCCTACTGTGCTGCTCACACCTCTTATTGATGCAATGCTTTTCACCACCACCACCTCGTACACGGTGGACCATAACATTTCAGGAAACTACAGTAATGACTTATTCCTAAATTTAGCGATTTAGCATTACCACTCGATTGCATACCATCTGCGCTGATCATATGAGCTAGCGTCGTAGTCTGATCCTATAGTACAATGCTAATCGCAGTCCGGTGTTTCTGGTACAATACATAGGTTGTCTTTACCTGAACTTCCAGTATTGAGGGTCGTTCTTGGACAAGGTCGTGTGGTTCGAGTACCGCGTAATCTCTCTCGAATTCATCGCCCATACGTCGAAGCCAGCGTCGGCAAACAGAAAGCCTGCAATAAATCATGACACAATAATTAATTAATTCCTCACAACGAAAAGATGTCGACGGTAAATAAGTAAGATATGCAGCCAGGAAGTCACCCAGTGCACTACATAATGTCAATGTTCCCATTGAAGTGTTTGTTCATGATAAAAGCGTAGAACCGAACCGAAAATGTCAAAGTTAGATTATGAATCTTTAATTACGAAGTCGACTTTGTAGCGAGAAGGTACTTATGGCGAGTGACATAAATAGTGATCGTGGGAAATTGAAATGGCCCCAGCTATTTTGGATGGCTTGTATATCGTTCCCTTCTGTGGGAAAGATGGAGTTTTGAGGACTTGTTTTCTTGTTTTACGCAAGCTTTTACGAAAACACGAAGGAATGTATTGGGGGAGTTAATTATACTGTTAATTGTAATTGCAGTAATTGTGATATATATGTAAAGAAAGTAACGTGGGCGAAAAGACAACTTAATGCCGACAGGGACGGAACCTAGAACTTTCGGATAACGCGCAAGATGCTCTAACTGAGCTGCAGTGTCGATTGATTGATTGATTGATTGATTGATTGATATGTGGGGTTTAACGTCCCAAAACCACTATATGATTATGAGAGACGCCGTAGTGGAGGACTCCGGAAATTTTAGACCACCTGGGGTTCTTTAACGTGCACCCAAATCTGAGCACACGGGCCTACAACATTTCCGCCTCCATCGGAAATGCAGCCACCGCAGCCGGGATTCGAACCCGCGCCCTGCGGGTCAGTAGCCGAGTACCTTAGCCACTAGACCACCACGGCGGGGCTGCAGTGTCGATTGTCCTCCTTCCTTTCTTCACGAGTGAATTTCGACCACTCATTTGCTTAAGGCCCTTCAAGGTATAGACACGCGTGTAGGATATGTAGGTTAAGAGTGTAAATTTCAAAGGTTCGTTCGAATTTCTTAGACGCAATGTATAGGAACTATTAACAAGTTCTCATTATTGATCAAGTTCTTATTTATGAGTTTTTCATAAGTATATTATTTGTGATGAACATTGTAGCGTAACATGGATTGCTCTTGTTTTCGCTAGATTTGCAACTGCCATTGTGGCACTGCAGCTTTCAACACCATTACACTAATATGTGCTTCCAATCACAGCACTTTAGGACGCATACAGTTCACATGTCTCTTCAAAGAGATTAAAGGGATACTGAACGAAATTCACAGCATATCCACGGAGTGAACGCCAGAAAGAATATACTGGCTGTGGACGTTTTGCACGCAAGTGCGTTGGCCGTTCTGCGCAGTGTAACTGACTTGGACGGCAACCAGGTGCGCTCTCATGTTCCCTTGGGTACGACATTGATGTCGCTATTTCCAATAAGGACTTACAACTTCTTGTCAAGTCAACAACTGATACTCCAATTGTTGATGTCACCCGGCTAGGCAAGTCTCGCTGTGTGAAGATTGCGTTTAAGAGCACATCACTCCCCTCTCATGTGAAGGTGGGGTACTTCAGACATGCTGTGCGGCCTTTCATTCCAAAGCCTCTCCAGTGCCGTAAATGCATGAAACTTGTACATGTGAGCAGCGTCTACGAGAATTCGGTGGTATGCCACCGCTGCGCCGAGCACCATGAAGCGGATAAGTGCGTCGCGACTGTCAAGAAATGCTCTAATTGCAATGGATCCCATGAAGCCACATCGAAGGACTGCCCGCGGATTCAGAAGGAAATTGCCATCTTGAAGGAGATTGTGCGCGATCACTCATCTCATCGAGAAGCCGCAGCTAAAGTCAGAAGGCGTCGTTCACGTCGACGTAGGTCTTCGAGGACGCCCGCTACCTCCTCGACACGATTGCGTGATCCCTCATCAGATCCACCTCCTTTGCCTCCCAGACCACATGCCGTGGGAAAGGCTGTAAAGGACAAAGCCAGTGAGCATACCCTAACTGCGACAGAGTGGCCTGCACTTCAAAGGGAAGCAGCATCAAGCGAACCGAAGGAGCTTCATGACGGCCAGTCCACGCTCCCGGTTCGAGATCTTTCCAACCAAGACAGGCAAGTGGCTGCAATCGTGCAATCATTAATTGCCACAATTCGCACGCTACTGAGCAGCATAAAATCTCCGTCTGCTAAGAGTGCACTGCAAATACTGGATGCACTGAATCCAGTTCTTGCTAACTTCGTATAAGCTTAATGGCTCAACAAAATCTCCACTTCCGCACTGAAGTTGAAAGTGCGTCGATTTTTCAGTGGAATGCCAGAGGCATGAAGTCCCGTATCTCGGATTTTCGCCAATTTGTTCGGGCCAATCAATTCCCTATACTTGTCATATGTGAGCCAAACGTATCAGCGCCTTATAGATTGTCCGGTTATGAAGCTTTTTGTTCAGCCGCTTGCGAAGAACGAAGCAAAGTAATTGTTTACATTCGCACAGACTTGACTTATCTTTCGCACCCAATAAGTTCAAATGACGCCAATCAGTACGTGTGTCTTCGTGTGAAGAAGAATGCAGTTTCGTTCACGGCTAATGGTGGATATATATCTTCGTCATCGCGATTTGACTGCGACAGATTAAAGACATCCTAATGAGAACCGATGGGCCTTGGATCATCACCGGTGACTTCAACGCCCATCACATGCTTTGGGGGAGCACTAGGATGAATGCCAGGGGCCGGAACATTGTTACATTCGCTTCCAATTACGACCTTTCCATCATGAACGATGGTACCCCCACATATCTGCGGGGTCTCACGTATGGCAGTTGCCTTGACCTGACATTGGTGTCACGGTGCTTCTCTCACAAAGTTAGGTGGTTTTGCGATTTTGAGACTCATGGGAGTGATCACATACCCACCTACGTGACGATCGATGGTATCATAAAAATTTTCTCTTCCGGTGTTGCAATTGACACTGACTGGTCGATGTTTACATCGCGTGTTGAGAACGCTTGCCAAGAAGGCCTCTCCTGCAGCCTGGAAAATACCTATGCAAGCGTCCAAATGTAAATTACCATTTTCGTCTAAAGTAACACAGTTTGACATCGAACTGGAAAAATTGCGAGCTATACGAAGGCGTGCTGAACGACGATACAGACGCACAAGATCAATTTACGATCTGAGGGAAGCAAGGCGGCTCCAGAAAAAGATTCAACGACGCATTTACAAACTGAAGAGCGAACGCTGGAAAGCATTCTGCGAATCTCTAGACCCTCATAAACCGCTGTCATATATCTGGAGAACAGTTCGTGGTCTTCGCTCCTCTCCACAACAACGGCACCCTTTTAAAGCTTTGGCACTCCATCATGGAAAAACAGAACTCGAGGTGACTGAAGAATTTTGCACGAGAGTTGCCGGAATATTATGAACGAGAGCATCGACGCCGTGATCGTTTCTGAGACGCGATTACCAGAAATGGACATTCCGTTCACCATGGAAGAACTGGAAGGTGCGTTAGTCGCTTCTAAGCGCATGTCATCGCCAGGTCCTGATGGTATTACTTATAGTGCGTTGGGACACCTTGGACAAAAAGCTAGAAAAGAACTTTTAACATGCTTCAACAACTCCTGGCTCAGCGGCAGTGTTCCCCGAGAATGGAAAATTAGTCGATTAATACCACTTCTGAAATCGGGAATATCACCATTGGACTTGACAGCGTATCGCCCTATTGCCCTCGCAAGCTGACTCGGAAAAGTGATGGAAAGAATGGTTCTATTTCGTCTCGAGTGGTACTTGGAACGATACACCAAATACCCTTCTTGCATGGCAGGCTTTCGTCGGGGCCGCTCCTCCATTGACTATGTCCTTGATTTATCGACATTTGTTCAACAAGAAAAAAGTCGCAAGCGCATATCAGTGGCACTCTTTCTTGACGTGAAGGGTGCATATTGTCACGATGAGTCACAAGTACTGGGGAATATATTGAACGACCGGGTAGCTAGCTCTAGGACGATGCGTCAGTCGTGGCTGGCTCTCGAGCCAAGAAGAGACACGCAAATCTTCTTTCTTTCCTCCAGATGGTAGAGCCGCTCTTGCAGTCGACCCACTACGTGTGGGTGGCATTATCCCCCCTTTCGAAAAAAAAAGTCCCAAAAGGGGGAAAGAAAAGTACATAGCACCACCACGATGTTACGACATAGGCACGTGGAAAAAAAGAAATTGGAAATTCGGATAAAGTAAAAATAGAAATTAACGAGCGTGCCAATATAGGAAAAATCAGTGAACGAAGAAGCAAGTTCACAAAAATAAATAAATAACACAAAGAACAGTGTACGGCAAAAAAAAAGTTATGAACAACGCGCAATAAATGGTTTCATGCGCAACACACTAACGACATCCGACCTCGGTCGTGTCCTACTCCGTGCCTGCGATGTTGAGTCCGGAACCACTTCGTAGTTCACATCACTGACACGACGTAACACTTTATAAGAGCCAAAGTACCGGCTCAGTAACTTTTCACTAAGGCCACGGCGGCGGACGGGCGTCCACACCCAAACTTGGTCTCCGGGGTTGTAAAATACTTCACTGTGGCGGATGTTATAGCGCCGTGCGTCTGCCTGCTGTTGCTGGCCGATGTGTAGTCGCGCGAGCTGCCGGGCTTCCTCAGCACGCTCTGCGAATGCATCGGCGTCAGTTGCCAACTCGTCTTCGTCTTTACACGGTAGCATAGAGTCCAGCATGGTCTGCACTTCGCGGCCGTAGAGAAGCCTAAATGGCGTGAATCGCGTGGTCTCTTGCACGGCGGTATTATACGCGAAGGTCACGTAAGGTAAGATGCGGTCCCATGTTTTGTGCTGTACGTCGATGTACATTGAGATCATGTCTGCGATGGTCTTATTCAGTCGCTCGGTAAGTCCGTTGGTTTGCGGGTGGTACGCAGTTGTCTTTCGGTGTCTGGTGTTGCTCAGTTTGAAAACCTCATCCATAAGCTGTGCCGTGAATGCCGTTCCTCTGTCCGTTATTATACTGGAAGGGGCACCGTGTCGTAACACGATGTGGCGCATGAAAAATTGTGCTACCTCA